GTCACGTGACGCCTGGCCCCGCCCCCCGCCCCGCTCGCGCTGCGTCGGGCGCCCGGCTGGCCCCGCCCCGTCTCCGCCGCCCGCCGCGGCCCCGTAGCCAGTTCCGCGCTCGGCTTGCGGCGGGAGTCGGCATGTCTGCGGTGCTGCAGCGCATCGAGCGGCTGTCCGGCCGGGTGGTGCGCGTCCTGGGCTGTAACCCGGGGCCCATGACCCTGCAGGGCACCAACACCTACTTGGTAGGGGTCGGCACCAGGTAAACGGCCCTGTTCCTCCCCGACCAACCCCTCGGCCTGCGCGGCGCGCGGAGCGGGCTGGGACCACTGCTGGCCGGGGGCGGAGGGGGCCGGGCGTCCTCTGCAGCCGGCGGCTGGGGCTCCAGTCCCGGCCGGGCTGCCGCACCCAGCACCCCTCCTGCGTCACCGCGATGCCAGAGGGTAACCTCTCTAACTTAAAAAATGGCTAATGAGGGAGAGAAATCATGAAGAAGGAGGGAAAAAAGAAAAAAAGAAACCCTTCCTGTTTTTGAAACCCAGTTGACTTTGCTTAATGTGGAATGCCAGGGTGAGTGTCTAAGCTGTTGAGAAATTAGGATCGCCTGGAGTTAAGAATCCGGGAGGGCATGTGACTTTGCTCACCTTGTGACTGCCACTAGTGTTTTGCTCAGAATGTACCTTAACCCTTCCCAAAAGCGGCTAATGGTGCGGAGGCCTTTTTCTTAACTCAGCAGCAGAGGGCAGGATTTTCTTGTTTCCAGACTGCTCGAGTCTGTGAAAGAGCCCCTTAGCGACTCGGGAAAGAGGAGCCAAACTAACTGATTTGGGTTTTTGTGACTATTGTATAGCCCCATTTATTTTGCAGGTGGGGTAACCTTTCTGAATTTTTCTCTTGTTCACCCGCATTGTTTTAGTGAATTATGCAGAAGTGATGAGTGTGCATCAGTTTTTACATGCATGGTCTTTACCCTACTTAGTACAAGGTAAAAGTAAGATACAGTTCCCCCTTGAGCATAAAATTTAGTTGTGTATTACAGGATGTGTTAATATAATTGATTTCTGAAAACAGTTTAATAATGATTTGAGTTTCCATTTGAAGTATCTGCTTCCTTTTACTAGTCAATCAGATTTTTAGGTGGAGCAAGATGAAGGGACTGGAAGTACTGAAGCCAGACAAGCAAAAGTTAGGTTCAGAATAAACAAGGAAGGGTCAAGTAGGTACAGGAGCTTTAGGCTGCCTCCAGAATCTAGGAGGATTGAGAATTCAGAAAAAAATACCTTATGTCTAGGGTAAGAGTCTGTCTTGGCTGGGACTCCCTCACCCCAAGAAGTCCACAGGCATTCTCTTTTCTCTTTGGTGTGTCATGTTGAGGTAGTGCTAATCAGTACGTATTCTAAAAATTGAACGTACTCAAAATTACCCTAAGAAGTCTCTTAGGAGGCGCTGTCTTAGAGATTGTGTACTATCTCGTAATAAGTTAGGTGCAGCCTGCTTTTCTTCCAGCAATGAAGCAGATGGCTGGTTCTGTTTGAAAACCAGATGAAGAAGTTGGCTTGCGTTTAGGGGCCACGTTGTATGAAAAATACATACTGTATCTTTAAACACCGGAACCACATTCAGTATAGCAAAGTGGTTATGCTAAGAGACAAAGAACCTGAAAGTGACTTAGGGAAGACATTCATGGTCTCCCACTTTACACCACTTACACTGCCACTCACATAAACTCATGGAGTAGAATGGCCAGTGGAATCACTCACATATGACATAGATATGACGAATCCATATAGTTGAGCTAGAATAAGTTAATGTGTAGATGATGTAACTCTACTGTATAAAGGAGAAGTCAGGTGGCAAGAGATGAATATTAATTGGGTCCAAGTAAGAGGTTCAGATGTTGGTATCCCCCCCCCCCCCGGTTCTGCACAAAACAGTTCTAAGATCATTTGATTTGCTAACATCACGTTCTCCTGGTTTCCTCTTACCTCTCTAAGCTGTTCTTTCACAATCTCCTTTATAGAATCAGCCTCTTTACCAGATCTTTAAGTGTGTGAGTTCCTCAAGATGTAATATTAGTCTCTCCTGTTCTCATGCTCTATTCCCTATTGAGGTGATCTGGTCTACTTCATTGGCATCACCTATTTTCTATCCATTAGTAGCTCCCAACTTTATGGCTCCAGTCTAGATAAAAAGTTCAAACTTGATCTTCAGGCTAGGAGAGCCCACTGCTTTTCTTAAATCTCTACTTGGATGACACAGCCACTTGAAACTCCGTGTTTCACAAACTGAACTCAGGGGATTCTCCACTAAACCTGGTCCGCTTCCTGTCATCCATATCTTGGTAAACAGAACAATCCCCACATTTGATCAAGGCAGATGCTTCTTGCCATTTCTTTGTGTCCTGCACACACCTCCATGCCACTTTGAAGATCTATTTCCACTGCTTTTTTCTTTTTTTTTTTAAGATTTTATTTATTTATTCGAGAGAGAGAGAGAGGCAGAGACACAGGCAAAAGGAGAAGCAGGCTCCATGCAGGGAGCCCGACGTGGGACTCGATCCCGGTTCTCCAGGATCACACCCTGGGCTGAAGGCGGCGCTAAACTGCTGAGCCACCCGGGCTGTCCAATTTCCACTGCTTTTACCCCATCCACACCAGTGGATGTACACCAGTATAACTCTTGCTTAGGCTTTTATAAAGCCTAACTGATTTCTCTGGAACTATTTTTGCCCCTCTTCTATTCATTCTCCCCCATTTAGTAGGAATAATATTCTAAAAATGAAAATTCTTAGGCCTTGCATATTCCAGCCTCCACTTGTCTCATCAACCTCCTCAACCTCATCTCCAGCCTCTCTCCCCTCCTAGCCAGATGAGTTATATCCATTCAGCCTCGTGGCTCTCATGCATGCTTTCCTCTGTGTCTCCCACTTACCCCACTCTTCTTTACCCGACTAACTTCACTCATCCTGTAGAGTTCAGTTAGAATATCATTTCCTCAGGGAGCTGTCCCGACCCCTTAGACTGTATTAGGTTAGAATAATACATGTGTTAGTACTCCATACTTTTCGTGGTCCCTTTCTCAGTGATAATAAAATGATTTTTTGTGTAAGAAGCTTCATGTCTTTCCTCACTCTCCACTATAAGTTTAATGAAGGCTTATTTCTGTATCCCCAGTTCCTAGCACAAATTTTTGTACCCAGTACAAGTAGTACAGTAAATATTTCCCAATCAATGTTTATATTTTCTCTTCATCTCTAGTACTGTGATTCTAAGATTTCTGATAACTAGAGTTTCAACTGGTCTTCCTTCATTCTGATCAGCCTGTGTATGCCAGTGAATTTCCCTAAAGTATTACTAAACCTAGTATGATGCCTAGTATGTAGGTACTCAGTAATAGTTGAATAGGTAAATAATAGCCAGATCTTCTGAAGAGTATTTCCATGTTCCTCCTCTGTTCAAGAACCTCTAAAAGCTGTAATTTTAACCTTTACTATCAAAATTGTAACTCACTTGAGGGCAAATAGTTTACTTCTTTTAATAGGAAAAAAGTCTAATGCAGTAGAGTTAAGACTCTGGTCTTAACTGATTACCTAAATCCGAATCCTAGCTTATAACTTTAGACAAGACAGTTGATTCTCTAGGCTTCAGATTACTCTGTGCAATGAAGGTTGAATAGTGCCCACCTCAAAGGATGTTACGAGGATTCAGTAATATTTAAATGAAAAGTCATATCAAAAGCACTTAAAAAAAAAGCACTTAAATTCTAGCATATGGAAAGTGTTCCGTAATGTTAGCTATTATCACGTCTTCCCTCATAGCATTCAGACAACACTGGGTTTGTGGTAGGTGCCCAGAAAATACCTAATAATTTTCATCTTACAACGTATGTAACACAGTATCTTATATGTGGTAATCACTGGTTGGAATTTGAACTGAACTTTTTCAATATTTATTGAAATATTTCAATATTTCATAAATTCAATTTGAACTGAACTTTTTCAATATTTATTGAAATATTTCAATTTCATAAATTCAATATTTATTGAAATATTTCAATATTTCATAAATCAATTTGAACTGAACTTTTTCAATATTTATTGAAATATTTCAATTTCATAAATTCAATATTTATTTATTGAGTGCATATTTTGTGCCAGCACTGTTCTAGACACTGGGGGTACATCAGCAAACAATTAATAGTTCATTCATAGTACTCAGACTTGATTTTTGTCATCTCTTTTCTTCCTCCTCTACCAAAATCAGGAGTTCTTAATCTGAAGTCTAGGGTCCACCAAAGGATATAATTCAGGGAGTCTGACCTTAGCTGGGAGAAAAAATTATACCTTTATTAACCTCAAACTGAAAATTACCCTTTGTTCAATTATGAATATGGGCAACAAACTACAGTAGTAATAGCAGTACCTGAGATTTTTTTTCTCATATTTTCATCACATTTTGCAGTCATAGTAAATATCTCAAAATAGTATATATATTCATCACCATTTAGAAATGATCATTCTAAATTTTGGTGCCGCTCTTGTTACTTCATATGGTAATAAAGAAGCATATATAATACTATAGAATAATTTTTTAATTTTAATAACTATTTCAGCATAATTGATTTATTTTGTAATCTTACATGTTTTATTTTATACATTCCAAAACATTATTCTGAGACTATTCTATGGGTTTTACCACACTGCCAAAGGGTCCCAAGACATTAAAAAGGTTAAGGACCCATTACCTAAATTTGTCCATCAAAACCTACTGAAGTAGGTTCACAGCTAAAGAAAATGGGCATTGCACTTAGAAAGATGTGAATTTGAATATATCCTGTGCTAGAGTTCGTGACGCTGGGCAAGTTACTAAATTTCATCTATGTCTAACTTGTCAAGACCTCAGTTTCTTCATCTGTACAATGAGAGTAAAATCTCAGGATTGTTTTAATGATTAAGATAAAAATAAAGCCACTACTTTATGTATTCATCCAATAAACATTTATTATCTAGTAGTACGTGCCACTCTCTAGGTTCTGGCAAAACCAGACCAGGTTCCTGCACTCATGGAGCTTAAATTTGTAGGTTGTGGGAGGGTGTGGAGATAGGCAGTAAGTAAAACATATAAATATATGTCACATGGTAATAGTGCTATGAAAAAGCAAGGGAAGATGGCTAGCAATGTCATCAAAATTCACCGTGACCCAAACCAAGTCTGTCTCAAATTTGCTCTCTTCAGTGTTTATAGTCTTAGTTAATGACACGTCAGTCATCTCACGTAGAAACCTCAAAATCGCCAGTTTTTCCCCTTCCCTTCCACATCCAGTTGCCTGAAAAAAAAAAAAAAAATCCTACCGATCATGCCTCCTAAATGTTTTTTAACCATCTCCTACCTATAGAACCTCCTAATGCATTCATGGGCCAGTATATCCATCTAGTTTCCCTGTTTCCAGAAGGGACAGTTATAACTCTGTGTACTTGTGAAGTACAGCCACTGCTCTATGGAACGTAGGTGTAGATAATAGCCTGTGGACTATAAGGCCACTGTTCTCACCCCCACCCTGCCTGAGAGGACAATTTATTTTTATTGGCTGTGCATCTCAGGGAATAGAGTGAAGGAAACAAACTATCCGATATAAAATAGCCATCCAGATACCATTTGAACTTCTGCAGAAGGCTAGTTATCTGTCACTGTTACTGTTTGTTTTCATAGCTCCCTCTTCCCACTTTTCACTAGAAGGTAAAAAGGATTTTTCATCTTGCAAGAAAGACATGGCACATAGTAGGTAATTCATACAGTTATTAACATATTAATGAGTAAATGAGTGAGACTTTCATAAGACCAGTCTCTCCCCCGACCTGAATTAAGGAGGTATTACTGTGAAACAGCATGAATTAATAAAGGAGGTATTACTGTGAAGCAGCATGAATTTTCATAAATGAAAAATTTATGAGTTGGTTCTTGAGGAGGAAGATGTCACCCTTATTTCTTTAATTCAGGAAAAATTTATAGAGAAAGGCCATCATTCCATAACATAGTGAAAAAGGGCAAACAGTATAAAGAAGGGTCAGAACCACAAACAGAAAAATATAACTAATAGGGTTATCTAGGTAAAGAAATAAAGCAACTCAGACATTTCTCCATGCTTCCCTACTCCTTTCATTTTTCTGTGGACGGAAGCTTATGTAAAACTTCAGTGATAAGTTTTGTATGTAGTGCATAAGACTAGGTTTCTTTATGGATATCATTGAATCTAATTCTTTAATATCTATGAGACATTTGAGTATGTGGTAAAAGATCTCAAAGGCAGAGTGGATAAAAGCACATATTCTGGAGCCCGAATACCCAGGTTTGAATGCTAGTCTTACCATTTATTTGCAGAGTAACCTTGGGCAAGTTACTTAATTTCTGGATATAGTAATGAAATACCTACTTTAAATAATTGCTATGAGGAATTCAGTTGTTAAAGTACGTAAAATCCCCGGAATGGTGCCATATTTAAGTGCAATGTAAGTATTTGATATTATCGTGCCTTGAACTTGCCAATTTCAGATTTACATTTAGCTATAAGGTTTTTTCAAAGAACTTTTCTTACCGTGAGATTACTGTAGCTAAGGCGAAATATCATATAGCCCGTTTCCAAACAGGTTGAAAGCCAAGCAATATATGCAGTTTCTTAAATATAATATGAATTATCTGTGGGAGAAATAATGCCAATATTAACTTTGTGTTCCAATTGTGTGATTATCGTCCATTTAATTTTCAGGAGAATCCTCATTGACACTGGAGAACCAGCAATTGCAGAATATATCAACTGTTTAAAGCAGGCCCTGACTGAATTTAACACAACAATCCAGGAAATCATAGTGACTCATTGGCACCGTGATCATACTGGGGGCATAGCAGATATTTGTAAAAGCATCAATAATGGTAAACAGAAAACATTAATTAAGCTCTTTGAGGAAAACTATATTTTCAGAATAATTTGTGTTACAGAACCAAGTAAGCTAGTCAGTAGTTTACTGAATACTTTATGCACTTTAACGTGGTACTTTTAGAAATATACTTTTGATGCTGTCCCCAATTTTAACAAAAGAGGAAAGGAAAAGTCCTATTTTCTATTTCAAAGCACTTATCCCTCTTATTTTTCCCCTTTGTCCAGTGATGGAAGTCAGTTTTAATTTTGTCTGTAGTAGTAGTGACAATTACTGCTTCAGATCTAATAATAACTAACCACTGTTGAGCATTTACTATGTGCCAGGCAGTGTGCTAAACACTTTACATGGGTCCTGTGAGGCAGCTGCTGTTATTGTCCATGCTCTAAACATGATCTCAGGTCTCCCATAACTTTAAGGCAATCACTATAATATACTAAAGTGCTGGCAAAATATCATTTTATTGACAATTCTCTGTCCTTGAAACCTATTCAGTACGGACACTTCACCACCTCTCTCTTTATTCCATCTCACCATCACACACATAGATCGATTCATTCCTTCTTCCCTTTAACAAATTAAGTGACTACTATATCCAAGCACTGTTCTTGGCACAAGGGATCGTGGCAGTACACAAAATGAAGACTCTGCTCTCATGAAGCTTGCATATTAGGAGAGAAGGTAAATGGTAAATAAATAATAGGTCAGATGGTGATAGGTCCTATGAAGAAAAAGTTCTGTGAAGAAAAAGGGGAGAGAAATTGGTGGAAGGGCAGTAGTTATATCTATGGTGGCTACAGAGAGTGAGTAAGCTATACAGATATCTGAGAGACTATACCAGACAGAAGGCATTGCAGGAGCAGAGATACTGGAATCAAAGCATGTGTGATGACAAGTTCAGGACACATGAAGGACAGGTCAGGAACATTCATTCACAAAAGGAATACATATACACATTCAATTTGTGTTTTTAAGTATTTTTAAAATGCCTTTTTTTAAGGACTTGAGACTACACTTGGAACACTGGGCAGCCCATTATAAAAAACACTTTAACCTCACTTGGTTTCCCTCTTCTCTCCTTTCTTACATCCTAGAGGATGGTATGCCACAGGAAATCATCTTTCAGTTGACTTTTCCGCACCTTTTTTTTTTTTTTTTTTTGGATTTTATTTATTCATAGAGACAGAGAGAGAGAAGCAGAGACACAGGCAGAGGGAGAAGCAGGCACCATGCAGGAGCCTGACGTGGGACTTGATCCCCAGTCTCCAGAATCACACCCTGGGCTGCAGGCGACGCTAAACCACTACGCCACCAGGGCTGCCCTTCCACACCTTTCTCTTGTCTACCTACCCATTAAATTTTGTGAATTAAAAAACTGCCCTGAAGGTTCTTGACTAGCTTTGGCAACTCTTTTAGCATGAGGGTCAATTTGAAAATTTGAAGTGTTTATGGCCTACTTTTTCTTCCTCATAAATCAACTTTACTGAGCCTAAATTTACATACATAAAATGTACCCTATTTGATAAACAACTTTGTGAACAATCTAGTCAATATAAAGAACACTCTCATGAACCCAAAAAGAGGTCTCCTGGTGCCTCTCTGCAATGACTCCCCTTCCAGCAACCACTGATCGCCTTCATTTCACTATAGATCAAGTTTGCCTGTTCTAAAATGCCGTATAATGGGAGCATATAGAATCACTGTCTAGCTTCTTCACACAGCATCCAGTTTTTGAGATTCACCTATGTTTCAGTATCAATAGTTCCTTTATTGCCAAACGGTAATCCATGGTAGGATTATACTAGGGTTTATCTGTTCACCTGTTACTGGACATTTCACCTGTTTCTTTAAATTAAAAATTTAGGGGTGCCTGGATGGCTCTGTTAGTTAAGCATCCAGCTCTTGATTTCAGCTCAGGTCATGAGATTGATTGATTCTCTTGATTTCAGACTCTCAAGGAGTCTGCTTGAGATTCTGTCCTCCCCTCTTTGCCCCTCCCCCTGCTCAGTGCTCTCTTCCTCTCTCCCTCCCTCTTTCTCCCTTTCTCCCTTCCCCCCACCCCTTTCCTCCTCCCTACCTCTCCCTTTCTTTCCCTCTTCCCGCCAAATCAATAAAATCTTTCTTGAAAAATTTAAATCGTTTTAGGTTCCATACAAAATAATTAATATGTGTATAATAGATTACTTATTAGGTTGATATAAAGAAAATCAAGAAATTTGACCTGCTCTGTAGCCACTAGGATTTTAATACTTTGAGAAGTAGCTTATTGACTTTCATTCTGAACTTTATTGAAGCTAGACTAGCTATGTACAGACCTGGAGTTGCTCAGCACTGAAATTATACAGAGCTATCTTTCAGAATCTCCCCTTAGGAGTCCTGTGTATTTCTTCATACTCTAAATCCTTTATCACTAGCATTCTTGTTCCATTTTGTTTCATTATTTTCTTTACTCCGTATCATTTTACTACTTTAGTTATTATTAGTATGGCAGAAATTTTTTCACCTTTATGATGCTAACAACCTGTGATTTTACAGGCCACATCAAAATTATGAATGCCATTTACAAGGTTTCTGTAAGATACAGCAACTTGCTTTCAGAATTTTAAGATGTAATCAGAGTACAATTTCGGAACTCGCAGTGGCTGGCCAGAAGCCAGAATTTTACTAGACATGAGAACTGTATTGCCCCAGGTTGCCCCCGTGTTTTGGTTTGTTTTTGAGTAAATCTTATAAAATATATTTTGTGATCTGATGGTTGTTATTTTGCAGCTGAAGTTGGGTCCTTGCCGTGTACTTTTCCTCCTGGTACTAGGAATCAAATGTTTGCTTCTAATGCCATTCAATTAGATTATTTTTATTAGAAAGTATTATAAAAATATTACAGGTTTGTATTAGCTTCAGTAATTAGCATTAACTGATGTTTTAACTCATTATCCAAACCTTTAACAAAAGACCAAGGGTTTCCTCCTGTTAAAATAATCATATGATAGAAACAAAGTAATAAAGGTTGCCAGGGGCTGGTAGGAGGAGAGAATAGGGAGTGACTACAGTTGGGTAAAGGGTTTCTTTGAGGGGTTTTGAAAGCATTATAAAATTAGATAGTGATGATAGTTACACAGCTCCTTGAACATACTTTAAAAACACTGAATTGTACACTTTGAAAAGGTGAATTTTATACTATTAAGTTATATCTCCATAAGCTTCTATTAAATATAATGATTATATGATTGCTTTCAGCATACCCATCTCCATCCTACCCAAACACATTGTTATTATGAGTAGGATATGTGTTTTCATGTTTGCACCTAACTTTAAAAACTGGCACAGTTATAGTATGACATTTGTTATTTTGAGATAATGGTGAGTTTTTTGGAAGATTGTATGCCAAAGGTCTCATAACTTAGAAATATAATACTGCTACTTCTTTACTGAAAGATAAAATTATTCAGATTAAAAATAAATACATACCAAAAAACCTCCCCATCTCACTCCAGAATGAAGACAGCCTTATTATATAATGCCAGTTCCCAGAATAGCATATTATTTTTTGCTTCAGCCTCCAAGATACAAAATAATGGAGTTTGGGGCTGGAGAGAGAAGGTCTAGTCTCAGTTGTTTTATTTTTATTGTATTTGCAATATTTCTATCTCCTGTATCTTCCATACTATCCTGATTTCTGTGCCTTGCCAATTTTTCTCTGAATGTCTTTTTTCCCATGTTGCTGTCACATTAGTTCTAATATTCATATCCTCCAACTGGGTAGTTATAGTCATCCCCTCCTGGTCTTTCTGATCTCTCGCCCTCCAGTGTCCCACCTAGCACTGCCATATAGATCAACCAATTAACACTATTTCATCTTTTTTCTAAAGAATGTACAGTGGTGCACATATGGTAGAGTTTAAATTCCTCTATTTTGTGAAAAATTTAAGGCCCTCCATGATATGAGCTCATCTGATCCCACTTTATCTCCAGTTCTCAGCCAGTATTTGCATTAGACAAGTTGGTAGCATATATTGTTGCACATATGCCAAGCTCATTGTCATTTCTATGCTTTTCCTAATGCAGTTTCCCTTACTTACAAATCATTCTCTGTACCTTTTCCCAAACTACTCATCCTGTAAGCCACACTCAAGTTTTTTCATATTTGTGAATTTTTCCTAATTGTTTTCCTTTCCCTAAACTACTATTGCTTTTATTGACTGAATTGCTTATTTAGTATCTATTAAGTGGTACTGAGTATAGTTCTTTAATTCTTGTTTGTAAGTTTTATTTCCCCAACTGTGATAGTTTTTAAGCACTTTAATATCACAGTCCTTGTATTAACTATATGTAGTATGCTGGTTAGATAAGTGGCACCCAGCTATTGATTGGTTAATTGATTTTCTTTGTGTCAGTGAGAGGTAGGATGGGCTAAATTTATTTTAATGGTTTAATATCTTAGCCCTGGGTTTTGGGCTCCTTTCGGCATTCACAGAAAGAACATTATGCTCTCATCCTTGTATTACTAAGTACTGCCATGATGCCATGACTTCTTTTACTATACACTAAGATCTAGACAGAAAAACGTTCCCCAGTTCTGTATTACTGCCTCTTCAACATCCATCTTGATATCAAAGCTAGCTGAGATTATGAAGAGCTACTTTCAAACTTTTGTATAAAATTAGAGTGACTAGAAAACCATGAAAGCTTTTATGTAGACCTAGAAGTGTATGAGAGAATAAAAAGCTCTTTTATTGAGGTAGAAAAAATACTTCAAATTCC